GGCCTTCCTGAAAGACCTAGGAGCTAAAATGACACCTACAGGAATTACTGACTGATTGTCTTACAATTCACAATTTACCAGAAGAAACTGCTCAGCTATGGAGAGATAAAGTGAGGTGCTCAAGCTCACTCCACCAGTGAGCTTGTCACGTGTCAAACCAGGATTTGCTACTAGACAGTCTGACCCCAAGGCTCACTAATACCCAGCACCTGTGCTGCCCCCAAGACCTTACACCCATTGCAAACTCAAATCAGGAATTCACACTGACCATTGTTGTTATTATGTGCCATCAAGTCGGACCCGATTCATAGTGACCCCTCCTTGGGTTTCACTACAGAAATAGATCACCCAGTCTTCTTTTCAAGGAGTGGTTGGTGGGTTTGAACCACCAGCCTTCTGGTTAGCAGTCAAGTGCCTTTGGCACTACGCTACCAGAGCTCCACATTGACCAGAAGACAGTAAAATGGCATTTCTTCTTTACCCCTTCAAATGGACCACCAGTGCCACCATCACCTCCACCCACACTGACATCGTGGCAATGGCCTGGCTCTACAATTTCTTACTGACCTGTTTGTCTCACTGCTGGACCATAAGTTCAGGGCTGAGCACTGTGTGTGTGTGTGTGTGTGTGTGTGTCCTTCCACCCTACATCCTGCTGTCTATATCATTCAGCAAGACCTTGGGCCCCCGATCCATTCCATGAGAAGAACAAAGTGCAGATTACCTCTGCAGTATGGAAGACGTCAGGAGTTGTGGAGTTCTTACTGATGCATTAACTTGAAACTGATATGGAATGGCAGGAGACAGAATTTATGTTTAAACCTTTCCATGACCCTGGTATATAGTCTAACCACATACATTTTCTAGCTCTGGGGTTTAGTGGGAAACAGTTATCCACTTCCTGTGCATGCTGCCATCTGTAGGGGCCTGTATAACTGTATAAATCTGAAGAAATGGGCTTCATCCCACCAACCCAGCACCAGAGACCCCTTGGGACATATGTGTCCCACTGCTGTTGTTGTTATGTGCCACTGAGTCATCTCTGACTCCTAGCCGCCTTATGTACAACAGAACAAAACACTACCCGGGCCTGTGCCAGCCTCATGATCCCTGCTATACCTGAGCCCATTGCTGCAGCCATCATGTCAATCCATCTTGTTGAGGGCCTTCCCCTCTTTTGTTGACCCTCCACTTTACCAAGCATGACATCCTTCTCCAGAGAATGGTCCCTTCTGACAATGTGACCAAAGTAGGTGAGATGAAGTCTGGCCATTCTCACTTCCAAGGAGCATTCCAGCTGCACTTCTTCCAGGACAGATGTGTTAGTTCTTTTAGCAGTCCACAGTACTTTCAGCATTCTTCGCCAGCACCACAACTCAAAAGCATCTACTCTTCTTCGGTCTTCCTTATTCATTGTCCAGCTCTCACATGCTTATGAGGCAATTGAAAATACCATGGCTTGGGTTAGGCACACCTTAGTCTTCAAGGAGACATCTTAGTTCTTCAGCACTTGAAAGAGGTCTTTTGCAGCAGATTTGCCTGATACAATACATCTTTTGATGTCTTGACTGCTGCTTCCATTGGCATTGATTATAGAACCAGGTAATATGAAGTCTCTGACAACTTCAATCTTGTCTCCATCTATTGTGATGCTGCTTATTGGTCCAGTTGTGAGGATTTTTGTTTTCTTTATATTGAGATGCAATCTATACTGCAACCCGAGTCTTTAATCTTCATCAGTAACTGCTCCAAGTCATCCTCACTTCAGCAAGCAAAGTTGTATCATCTGCATATCGCAGGTTGTTCATGAGCCTACCTCCAATTCTGATGCCATGTTCTTCTTCATATAGTCCAGCTTCTCAGATTATTTGCTCAGTACACAGATTGAATAAGTATGGTGAAAGGATACAACCCTGACGCACTCCCTTCCTGATTTTAAACCATGCAGCGTTCTCTTGTCCTGTTGAAACGACAGCCTCCTGGTCTATGTACAGGTTCCTCATGAGTACAATTAAGTGTTCTGGAATTCCCATGCTTCTCAATGTTATCCACAATTTGTTATGATACACACAACTGAATGGCTTTGCAAAGTCAATAAAGCACAAGTAAACATCTTTCTAGTATTCTTTGCTTTGAGCCAAGATCCATCTGACATCAGCTATGATATCCCTCACTCCCGTCCCTTTCTGAATCCAGCTTGCATTTCTGGAAGTTCTCTGTCAATATACTGCTGCAACTATCATTGAAATATTTTCAGCAATATTTTGCTTGCATGTGATATCGGTGATATTGTTCGATAATTTCCACATTCTGTGGGATGACCTTTCTTTGGAATGGGTACAAATATGGAACTCTTCCAGTCAGTCAGCCAGGTAGCTGTCTTCTAAATCTCTTGGCATAGCTGAGAAAGTGCCTCCAGCACAGCATCTATTTGTTGCAATATCTCGATGGGTAGTCCATCAATTCCCAAAATTGCATCAAAATCCACATTATCTCAAAAAAAATTTTTTTTTTGTTTTCATTCAAAATGACTTCCATTACTGAAAATACATGGTTTCAACAAAAAATTCAAAGCAGAAAATAATTTGGTCTTAAAAGCATTTTAATCTCTGGTGTCCCACTAAACTCATTGCCAATGAATTGATTCCAACTCATAGCAACCAAAGAGGACAGAACAGATATACCCCATAAGGTTTCCAAGGCTGTAAATCTTTATTGATGTAGATTGTTGCAGCTTACTCCCAGGAGCAGCTGGTGGGTCTTTTGGCTAACAGCCAAACACTTAACCACTGAGCCACCAGGACTCCCTCATCTCTGGTGAATAGTTATGTCTTTAACGAGTCAATGGGAAATAAGAGGTAGTGTTTGAAA